TTATTTGTACATGTCGAACCGGGTTTTGGCTACGGCGTCTTGGCATCTCCCTCTGGTCTTGGGGATGAGTTCGGTAATCAACAAATCTCGTCTTTATATCATTCTTTATAAAGTGCTATACATTATAACCGTCTTTTCGCTAATTTTTGCATTGTAAATGGGCGGTAGAGAGAAGGTGGTCAAGCGCACGACTCCCTCCTCGGCCAAGCACTGGCGTCTAGCCTGCCCGATAGACACCCCATAGGCTCAGAATCTTCATTTCCTACTCTTCCAATGTTATTATTGCGTGATTACAGATTCGAATCCTCATTTATCGTGAATGATGAGGCCAAATTTGGTCTCACGATCTGCAGGGATATAATTCCGAGATGAGTGGAACTAGATCGCGACTCTGAAAGAGTTCTTCCGCCAATTGATGGCACATATGTGGCTTGGGGAGCTCATATATGAGCATCCATGCCTGGGTACCCCATGTATCAAGCGACATGGCACCAAATATCAATGTAGATTGTCTGGCGTCTTGCTTGAGAGCTGTGGCATGAGTTCAGCTAAACATATGAAATGCATTCAAGGCCCTTGATTTGACGGGCTGTTTATGCGGTCACTCAGACCGATGAGGAACCCCCCCAGGCGGCCCTCAAAGCTCGGATGAGGCAGGTTGTAGGCACATTCGGCGACATAATGAAATTGATGATTATTATTTCTGATAGCCCCATGATTTTTCGGGCACCCGCCAGCATGCTTGTAGTGATAGTCATTGGTCAATGTGTTCATCGCACTAGTCTTGACATTACAAGTGTCAAATTTCGTTGACTGTCGTAGAGATGTTTGCAGACACTGTCCAAGATAACTCGCCCGCACGGTTGGATCCTCTATCGTCCAGACGCTTAGCATCGACCTCTTAGGCCCCTCTTATATCGTTCTAGCGAAAGATAAATTGAATGCGTTTATTAAGCACCAGTTAATGAGAGAAGAAATGTAGATCTCGACTCCCGATGGAGCTGGGGCCATCGAGAATCCGAGTCTACCTACGCCTTCTTATGCAGTCAAAGAATCCGCCTTTGCAGTTATTCTGACGACCTCTATCGTAGTTGATCATCCAAATCTGAGTCAATGTTTGAGTTGCCTTTGTTGAGCGCCCCATGAGTATTAGTGGATGGACACTTAGTTACATGCGCTTATGGCATCCATAAACGCACGGTTTGCCATTACGTCTAAGCACATGGGGTTATAAAGGAACTGTTCGTAAATTCAAAGGTGAAGAATAGGACAAAACGAAGATTGGAGCCCAGTCAATGGGCTCGGTATGGTCACTCGTTCCAATAAAGAAGGTGAATGGAGCGGTAGGATGATCTGATAAGATCCAGGAAGGGTGTCCATTCGACGTGTCCCGCGCCTTCCAATCCTGCATGACGGCCGATGGCCAGCCTCAGGAGAGCGCCCCGTTTGTTCACCAAATGTACGC